ATTTTCAGTTATTTTTGTACACTAACTGCTCATGTGTTGCGTTAAGGACATTGGGAAGATCTTCCACCGGGCGAATGAAATTCCTCCGTAGTGCGACGATCGAAATGTTTCTGTACAGGACTTGTGTATTATCGATGGGTAAAAAGCTATTTAAGTGACATTTTTGCAACTTGAGAGGGGAGCCATTTATAGTTTAAAATTTGGAAAATAATTTGAATGGAGTAAACTTAATTGAAGTTTAATTAAAAGCATCGAACTGTTGATGCTAATACCAAATAAAACGCACACTTAATTACAAATATCAATGTCTAAGCAAAATGTCTCTTAAGCGTTTCACCCCCCGATATGTAATTTTTACTGGTGGTAGGACCTCTTGTGAGTCCGCACGGGTAGGTACCACCACCCCACCTATTTCTGCCCTGAAGCAGTAATGCGTTTCGGTTTGAAAGGTGGGGCAGCCGTTGTAACTATACTGAGACCTTAGAACTTATATCTCGAGGTGGGTGGCGCATTTACGTTGTAGATGTCTATAGGTTCCAGTAACCACTTAACATCAGGTTGGCTGTGTTCATCTATCTAAACAATAAAAAATAAAAAAAAAATAAACAAAAAAAAAACTTGTGTTCAATAATGGCTACCCGCTTTCATATATTACTGTTGTACTGTTAGTTATCCAAATAAATAAACAAATAAAATAAATATGGTATAATAGTCGAGGAATTTCAAGGACGCGTGTTAAGAAGACGTCAATGCAAAATCATGTTACAGTGTTCATAGAATTCCTCGTTGTTTTTACATTTATGCTTTTGATTCATTCATATAGTCTGTTACAATTTCTGGTCTATCTAAATATGAAATACTAGCGCCCCGCTCCGGCTCCGCTCGGGTATTTAACAAAAATTTCAACGATATATGACGTTTTTTTTTTAAATAAAACAACACTTATTGCGGCATAACTATAATAGTTAGACATATGCTGTGGCGACACATTTTGTGAATAATAATGTGTTCTACAAAGTCGTAGTATTTTATTCTATCATTAATAGTTTTCGCAAGACATGCGATGTAAAGAATATTTTAGGTAATTTTTTTACACATTGGGTTACGTTATTAGGGTTTTGGTAAGGAGCCCTAATTTTTTTCAAAAAAATATTATAGCCTTTTTTTTATTTATTACTTAGATGGGTGGACGAGCTCACAGCCCACCTGGTGTTAAGTGGTTACCGGAGCCCATAGACATCTACAATGTAAATGCGCCACCCATCTTGAGATATAAGTTCTAAGGTCTCAGTATAGTTACAACGGCTGCCCCACCCTTCAAACCGAAACGCATTACTGCTTCACGGCAGAAATAGGCGGGGTGGTGGTACCTACCCGTGCGGACTCACAAGAGGTCCTACCACCAGTGAAAAAAGCCTGCGTCACTGGGGAATAGTGTAGCTTCCAAACAGTGAAAGAAATTTTCAAATCGGTTCAAGTTTCAAGTAGTTTCGGAGCCTATTCAATACAAACAAACAAACAAATCTTTCCTCTTTATAATACTACTAGTATAGACTAGTATAGATGTAATTGGTTATTTCTGACCAGATCACCTTCAAAAATACCTATTAAACATATACATAAACGATCTTCGTTTACGGTAGATCCTCGAACTATAAGTTCTGTAAATACATAAAGAACATGGGATATAATTTCGTTCAAAAGCTTCGTTAAAAAGTTTTTTGAGCCGTTCATATTAATCGTTCTGAGTAGGGTCGGCAAAACAATACTTAGAAAAATCCTACGCGTATTGTAATTTGATTTTGTCGACAGCCACAGTAATAGGAGTTACTGAAAGCCAGCAATAAGTTGTATTAGAAAATTATCTGAAGATACTCGTACCACCAAATATGGAAGTTCAGTAACAATATAAAAAACAAAATAGTCACATGCCAAAGAAGAATGGAGCGTAGTATGATAAAATACAGAAAATCGTGTAATAAAAATCAAACCCGCAAAAGTATAATTTGCGTAATTACTGGTGGTAGGACGTCTTGTGAGTCCGCGCGGTTAGGTACCACCACCCTGCCTATTTTTGCCGAGAAGCAGTAACGCGTTTCGGTTTGAAGGGTGAGGCAGCTGTTGTACTAATACTTGAAACCTTAGAACTTATATCTCAAGGTGGGTGGCGCATTTACGTCGTAGATGTCTATGGGCTCCAGTAACCAGGTGGGCTGTGAGCTCGCCCAGCCATCGAAGAAATAAAAAAAATCCGTCACTCAAAAATCAGAAAAATTAGCAAAACAACTGATGTACTAGTTCAAGTCTTAACTTTAAAATGGAAATAGGCTGGGCATGTTGCACGCTTTCAGGATCAGAGATGGACAAAAAAGGTAAGAATATGGACGGGCTTACTACGAAAAAGAAAGAGGGGAAGATCATATACTAGATGGGAAAACGATATAAAGAAAGTAGGTATTACAAATTGGGTTAAAATTGCACAATCCAGAGAAGATTGGATATCCTTGGAGGAGGCCTTTACCCAAGGAAGGGTTCTTGCAAGTGGGAAATAATACATAATATTATTCAACAAACATATTATTTATTAGATAATTAATAGCATAGACACATTGCATTAATTTTTGTTTCTATGTTACTTGTACGATTAAAGGCTTTTTTATTTTTATTTCTTACTAGCATTTTCATATTTAGCTACCTTTTAAACCTTCTCTGGACTTCCAAAAATAATTCAAGACCAAAATTAGTCAAATCGGTCCAGTCTTTCTCGAGTTTTAGCGAGACTAACGAACAGGAATTCATTTTTATATATTTAATAGATTTTATTTATTTTACTTATACCACGGAGGATTTATAAAGTAGCAAAACTAGACCTGTAGTAGGTAACTACGGATATGTTTCTTTGTCTTCTGATTAAAATAGGTCGATGAAATTTAGTCCATTTACACTTCAAAGGGTTAAGATGTCCATACAAGGAATCTTTAAAAACGATCGTAGAGAAAATACAAAAGAAAGTAATAACAATATTATGCTGAATACGAGTTATTGTACAACATTATACCTATATATATATATAATATGTGAACCAAAAACTTTGTATACCTTTTTACGAAAATGTTGTTTTATTCGTGTTTTCACTAATCAACTTAATCGATAATTTTGATTTTTTCTTTAAATAACCAGTTCATATTTTTTTATTATTCTGTCGGTAAGATCGAAAAATATTATTCATATTTCATCATTTTATCAATATGTAATTCGTACTTAAATATAATATCTAAAAAACAAAATTTATCAAAAAAAATACCGTCATTATCTAGTTAATTAAAAACGTTGTAGAGGTTTTCTACTAGAAATAAAATAAAAAAATCAATACATACACGTATCATAGTGGATACTCTCTCAGCATTATTACAGAAGAACTTCTTATTATTGATTGTATTCAAAACAGATATAATGTATGAATGGTCGAATGTATGGCGCAACGCACGTCAAACTTCTAATATCTGGCTGGATCGTTATAATTCTTTAAGCAGATGCGCGTTCGCACCTCCCCCGACCAATGGGAACGGTCGCGAAGCTATTTACTGCTATTTCATTATTTGTTTTATGTCCACGTAACGATGCCGAATTTGTATCAATTAAACTGATGCGTGCCAGAAGTGTAATAAATACGAGCCCCCGTAAATAGTTTGTGATCTTTTTTTAGATGTTTCCTCTGGTTGTAGGGCGCGTTGGGTAATGCCGGATTGATAACGTCGGGCCACAGTTTTGAATGTTTTGGCGGTCAATTTAATAATGTTTAAGTTTGAATTTTAGGATTACGGTGGAGGTCCTTGACCTTCCTCGTCTCCTTCTTCCTCTTAAGAGGCGCCGAAGTCCGACCCGGGTATTCGTAAATGGGTTCTCCAGCGATAAAAAAAAGGATCGCTGTAGAAATTTGATGATTACGCTTGCTTGTGCGAACTCTCACCATGCAAGTATTTTACAAGTGAGACTAATGCTGACATTACATACTGATTAAACGTACTGACAACACCACAGAGCTCCAATCTAGTTTTTTTCTTTTTCTTACCTAAGCTGAGAGCCTTGAGAGGCTATTTCTGCGTAACCTTAACTAGTAGGTGAGCTCACGGGGCTCAAACCTGACGACTTTGCTAACACGAACTCTAGCGAGAGCCGTACTTCGCAGAATCTACCACCGGGTCGGAAACGTGACCCACTGACAAGATCCTGCGAGAAACTCAGTGGGCTGTGTCTGTGGGTTAATTTACTCGTCGAGTCCTTCGTCGCAAGCGACGGGTTCGACGAGAACGTTGACCGGGCCAATCTAGGAGCACTCTTGGACACACAGCTATTTTAGATAGACTGAAATCGTACTTTCCTAGCTTGGCACTGAATTCTGACTGATTGAACAGTTAAACTGAATCTAAAATACGTAGCATTAAATCAATTATTTTTTCCATACAAATATATTTATAATTGTTTGTCTCGCATTTTATTCAATACAAGCGGCCCACTCCGGCTCCGCTCAGGTCTTTAACAAAAAATTCAACGATATTTGAGGTTGTTTCATTTTTTTAAATAAAAGAACACTTATTGCGGCATAACTATAATAGTAAGACATGGTGTCGCAACACATTTTGTAAATAGTAATGTGTTCTACAAAGTCGTAGTACATTATTTTATTCTATCATTAATAGTTTTCGCAGGGCATGCCATGTAAAGGATATTTTAGGTTATTTTTTTACACCTTGGGTTACGTTATTAGAGTTTTAGTAAGGATCCCCAATTTTTTTTTAAAAAGATTATAACCTATGTCACTCTTGAATAGTGTAGCTTCCAAACAGTGAAAGAATTTTTCAAATCGGTTCAGTAGTTTCGGAGCCTATTCAATACAAACAAACAAACAAATCTTTCGTCTATATAATATTAGTATAGAAGTTATTTTGTGAATGTCATAAAGTTTTAATTGCTAATCCTTCAAATGTCTTTTGTTTCAGTGGATGCCAGGCTCGGCATGGGGTCCGTTACCGACTGCGGCACCACGATCCGCCCCACCACCATCGGACGACACCAGTTCTCTCGTGGAACAGCTTACGGCGTTGTCTTTACGTCGGCCACCGAGGCCCCCACCACCAGCTTACATGTGTCACTTGTGCTTCAAAAAAGGGCATTACATTGGAGATTGTCCGCAGGTATAAACCAAAAAGTATTGGCTAAATTTTGTATATAGCTTGATCTGCGAAAACAAAATTCAAGTATGTTCAGTAACAAAACAATTGTAAACGTTTTGTTTCACGCCAGATAGAGATCACGCTATTTTTCACGATAACGTCACAGCTTTTATACAACTTAAGCCTACTGAGTTTCTCGCCGGATCTTCTCAGTGGGTCGCATTTCCGATCCGCTGATAGATTCTGCGAAGCACTGCTCATGCTAGGGCCAGTGTTAGCAATACACCCGGTTTGAGCCCCGTGAGCCCACTTACATATCAAGGAGAAGCTGATATAGCCTTTCAAGGTTATCAGCATAGGTAGGGAAAAAAACAACTTAATAACCTCTACCTCAGCTGCAAATGATTATTGTTTCCCAAGTAAAGATCTGTGAAAAATATTCCAACTTTGGTTTTAAGTGACTGACTAAATGGCAGAGACTATTTGACTCAAATGTATTATACATTTGTAGCTCCAATAACAAAGCCAAAGCCCCAAAACAGTGGCCTTTAAAAACATATTGGTTACGCCATCTATTAACATTTTTTGGATTCTTGGTTCACGTGTATTCTGAAATGTTTTAAGAAAAAAAATTGCAATGCTACCACGGGTAGACAAGGATGGTAAACTAAGATCTCGATCGAGTCCTGTGTGCTTGGTTCGAACCCTTCGGTTCGGATTCTTCTCAATCGTGTCACTCTTGACAGAGTGGTCGTGATCGTCATGTAGTGTTGCAGGGCAGAGTTGATGCGTCTCACGATGTCCAGCCATCTCTCCCTGCTCGAGGCCATTCTACTGCACTAATTTAGGGGACCTCCCACTGCAGTTGTAATTTGTTCGATTCACCGCATTAGTGACCTCTCGCGTGGTCTTGTACCATGAACCCTTTCCTGTACAACGAGGCGTTCTATGGCCCAACCAAATATTGCTTCGGATAAGAGGATTGGTAAGAACGGAACGTATGAAAAGAGTGTGGAACGGAGCGTTAAGATGTGAGTGAGAAAAAACGGTAAGAAAGGGAGAAGAGAATGACAGACAGGATGACAGAAAAAAGGAAGAGGGCGAAGACGGTTAAAAAAATGATCAAGGCGTAATAAGATTGTTAATTAATTTTTAATTATTATTTTAACAGAATATTTTGTAACAGTGGAAGTTTTATTTTATGCGCTGCGATCCCTAATTCTACATATATGTATCATATCTAGGAGTGAAAGGCTATTGCTAACTTTGTAATTAAAGGTGTGATTTATTTGGTATTAGCATCAATAATTCGATGTTTTTTGAGTGAACTGCAATTACTCCATTCAAATAGCTGAAGAAGTTTTTTGTTATGATATTTCTTCCAAATTTTAAGCTTTAGACTCTTCTGTATAGTTACAAAAATGTCGATATTATCTCGTAAAACTATTCGCCTAGTATAATAAATATAAACAATACAGCACATACATTTTAAACAGCTTAATATGATACAAGAATTTATAGCTAATGAGAACATTCTGTAATAACAGAAAGTTACTACTAGTCCTGTTAATTAAAATGTAAAAATCTAAAGCTCTCAATATATTGAGAGCTTTTTTTTATTTATAAATATAACCTTTGTTAATTATTTTTATCTTGTATGCGATTTGGCCTTCAGATTAATAATATCGACCCAAAAAGACTCCGGATTCCGGTAAAGACCTAACACTAAATAGACTCCGAGATCCTTTTCTCATAAATGCAATAAAAGACATAAAAAGATACAGTGAGTAAAAAGGAACGAAAAAATTCTCTATTTTTTTATTGCTTTTACGGGTGGACGAGCTCACAGCCCACCTGGTGTTAAGTGGTCACTGGGGCCCATAGAAGCAAATGCGCCACCCACCTTGAGATATAAGTTCTAAAGTCTCAGTATAGTTACCACGGCTAGCCCACCCTTCACACCAAAACGCTTTGCTGCTTCACGGCAGAAATAGGCGGGGCGGTGGTACCTACCCGTGCGGACTCACAAGAGGTCCTACCACCAGTAATTACGCAAATTATAATTTTGCGGGTCTGATTTTTATTACACAATATTATTCCTTCACGGAAGGAAGTCACGTGGAAGTCAATCGTGAACATTTGCTAAGTACGTATTGCATCAGAAAAATTGGTACCCGCCTGCGTAATTCGAACACCGTGGCATCGCTAAATACGAATGCACCGGACGGACGTCTTATCCTTTAGGCCACGACTTTAACTTAACTAAATATGTAAAAGTCGATGTGTGTTCTCTATAAACTCTGAAGCGGCTGGGTCAATTTCTTGGCAATTTATAGGCAATCTTCATCTTATTCTAGAGGATGATCCTGTGAAATTTGGCAACGATCGAATCAAAGATAAATCAATTGTCGGCCAACAAAGCGGACTTAGTTTTAGTAGCTTATAAAAAAAAGCCAAACTTGTTTTTAATCTTTTGTAACTTATGTGACAACTTCCTGTGAAGGCTTGAAGTACTTAATGAACAACGATTGTTTCAAATGGCGCAGTAATTTTTAATCTGCGCGGGGTGTTTCGTTACAAAGAACTGTAGTTAAATATTTGTTTAAATAACCTCACTAATTAGTCTATTAAGATTAGAGCGGTGCTTTCATCAGCTTATTCATCGACACACCTTTAGCCGAGAAAATTAATTCTTATTATCTGACTGAGCAATATTAATTTACGAATATTTTTGGCGAATTATTTCCATCGCTTACGTCGATAGCACGAACTCGAAGGAATTCGGTGTAGTAGCAAGGCCAGACTTGGCAAAACTTCGTTCAAATGTGTGTTAAATTAGCTTTCTGTCTTGAACTTCGAGCAGTGTTCAGCCGTGGTGTGGATGGTAGCAATTTTATTTTTATTTTTTATTTATTGCTTAGATGGGTGGACGAGCTCACAGCCCACCTGATGTTAAGTGGTTACTGGAGCCCATAGACATCTACAACGTAAATGCGCCACCCACCTTGAGAAATAAGTTCTAAGGTCTCAGATATAGTTACAACGGCTGCCCCACCCTTCAAACCGAAACGCATTACTGCTTCACGGCAGAAATAAGCAGGGTGGTGGTACCTACCCGCGCGAACTCTCAAGAGGTCCTACCACCAGTATATTTCCCAGGGCTCAAATTATTTTCATACCGATTTTACTCAAAATCATTCCAGTTCTTTCAGCGTGAAAATACCTATAACAAACAGACCGAGCTGAATTCGCATTTACAATATCACAAATAGTCGCCAATATTTTTACTATTAAAACGAATTTCGAAACAACTGGAATATCTCTAGAATGTTCTGGAAAATTGTGGACATAGTGGCAATACAATATCGTGGCAATGGTGGAAGCGAAGAGGATGAATGGACTCAAGAAAGCACAAGAGTACATTGTTACAGTGAAATCTACCCTAAAGATAAGAATTTGATTTGAATAATTTATCCACTCAAGACTAGAAATATAGATTTCATAGTCAGCTTGTAGTTCGACTATCCAGCGGCTTAAAGACTGCATACAGCAATCTGTTTTCTATAGATTCACGTATACCAATTAAATCTAACCTCTGTCGATAGTACGTTAGAGTTTAAAATCAAACGTTGTCAGGTCAAACTGGGTCAGGGTCATGGAGGTCATCATTTACAAGTAACAAGAGCGAGTCCCTCTTATCTGTTTCCAGGAATTACTCGAAGATTACTTCTGATATTGACGTTACATTTTGCTCAGGACCGACTGAATGTAATATAACTGCTGCTAATATAAAAGCTGCTAATTTTTTTATTGGGATTTTTTTTTCTGAAGGCGCCTAAATAATGTGTACAATGCGGCTATCTGACCTTTCGGCAGAATTTGGTAGTAATTTAATATCCATCTGTGTTAACAAATGCGGCCTATCACGAGTTAATTTTGGGAGAAAATAAGGGCGGAAAAACGGAAGTGGAGAATAGGAGAAGAAATAGATAGAATATAAAAAGAAAAGGATAGTACTACAGACGTGCAAAGAGTGCAATAACAGTTGCTAGAGATGGGCGGACACATATGTTCTAAAATACTCCCCTTCATGAACCAGACAAGTAGACTATTAGCATTAAAGGATACTCTAAGCTGGTCTCTGTTAAATTAGGACATGTTGTTTTATTATTATAATTTTATAAACACTAAAGTACAAATTTGAATGGACTTAATACGATCAACTTAAAGTTATTGCAAAAATTTGCTCATAAAGAACTTATGCAAAAGAGATTAGTGCTGCCCTCTAATTCACAAGATGTGTACTATTGAATCAGTTATCATATAATTCGGCCGTACCCTTGGTATTTTAATATTAGTATGCTAATGACTGGCAGATGATATCAGGTACGCCATAAGCTAGTATACACTTGTAAAAAAAAATTATTAGGCAACCAACCGGAAATTAGATATTTTTCAACATTTCGGTGAAAGTAAGCGGTGAACTAACAATGTCAGCACAATTAATATGTACCACGATTAACTATATGGGGTTAAAATTAAATACGAATAACATTACTATTTCACCAAAAAAAACATTTCAATAACATCCCTTGCTAATTTTTAGATTGTTTTGTAATGGATGTCTTTGCTGTTCGTTCTAAGCAAAAATCATGAATTATTCCAGGCTCGTCCAAAAGGCGAGGGTCTGACTCCGTATCAAGGCAAGAAGCGATGCTTCGGGGAGTACAAGTGTCCGAAATGTAAGCGCAAGTGGATGAGCGGCAACTCTTGGGCCAACAACGGACAGGAGTGCATCAAATGTCGCATTAATGTGTTCCCTCACAAACAGGTGAAGCTTTATGGATTTCTCTTATTGTTATGGATACTGTTTGTGAATCGAAATATTGGTTCTGCAGAAAATTGCATGATAAATAGTTCTGCGAGTTTGATGATATGATGATCAATGGATGGACGAGCTCACAGCCCATCTGGTGTTAAGTCGTTACCGGAGCCCATAGACATTACAACGTAAATACCGCATCCCATCTTGAGATATGTGTTATAAGGTATCAGTATAGTTACAATTAATGCCCCACCCTTCAAACCGAAATGCATTACTGCTTTACGGTAGAAAAGGCAGGGTGGTGGTACCTAATGTGCGGACTCACAAGAGGTCGTACGACTAGTAATTAAGCAAATTATAATTTTGCGGATTTGATTTTATAACACGATGTTATTCCTCCACTGCGGAAGTCAATCACGAACATTTGTTAAGAACGTATTTCATTAGAAAAATTGATACCCGCCAGCGGGATTCGAACACCGTTGTGTCGCTCGACACGAATGCACCGGACGTCTTATCCTTTAGGCCATGACGGCGATACAGCTGTACCAGTACACTACAGCTCATACTTATACTTCGGTTCTCGCCGTGGGTAGTAGCATTCGCATAGCAATCAGTAATGAATTTTGCTTAAAAGGTGTGAGCCGTTGTAATGTCAAAATTGCGACTAAGAACTCGTGTCTCAAGGTTGGTGGCGGCATTTACGTTTATATATGGTTATAGTTATTTATTTTTATTGACTCCAGTGAGTAATTAGTTATCTAAGTCCCAAATATTAATCATGCGATCTTACAATACGCCATGAAATACATTATCATCACCGGCTTTCATTATACAATTGGTCCATAAATATCTTATCTCTCAGTTCTCATCGGACTATTTTCAGTCGCTTTCTGCAGACCTTTTTTTCCTATCTATGCTGATAGCCTTGTGAGGCTATTTCAGCTTCTTCTTGACGCGTAGGTTAGCTAACACTGGCCCTAGCAAGAACAGTGCTTCGCAGAATTTACCAAAGGATCGGAAATGCAACCCACTGAGAAGATCCGGCGAGACACTCAGTGGGCTGTCTCTATGGATTAATTTACTGGTCGAGCCCTTCGTCGCAAGCGTCGGGTTCGGCGAGGATGGTGACCGGTGCTTGAGGTACCTTAAAGCACCGTTAATGGATCGGGAGGATCCGTAATGACTTGTTTATGGCCTTCATTCACTACACCTGACTTTTAGTAACATCCTACGCTTAAGTAACAAAACCTTAATTTGTTTTAAATAACTTTTCAGCGACCTCTAGAGAAACCAGACGGGCTGGACGTGAGTGATCAATCGAAGATACACCCTCAGCATTTGTGCCAAAAGTGCCGTTCTTTAGGCTATTATTGCCGCAGGGAGTATTGAACGAAATCAAAACATATAAAAAAATATAGAGTAGAAAATAATATATTTGATAATGACTAATACGATATTCCATCAAATTTCAGTTACAAGATGTCTTCCTTTTCTGACTTTCAGGATTGTATTGTAGAAAATTAAAAATAGCATCGTTTTGTTTTTACTTTTATTTATCACCAACAGTTTATGATAAATCCAAATAGTTCGCCTCGTGTAGGTTAGATGGCACTGTTTTCAGAAAATTCTAAAATAATTTTTTCGCCGCATTGACACCTTATTTTCTAATTATTTTTAACGATAAGTGAATTTGTGTTGTCTTACTTAATTTAGTACTTATGTTAAATATTGCCTTGTGCCTTAGCTATTCTAGAAATAAGTCATCTTTTATAAAATATATTTTTAAAAGGTTTATTGTATATTTCGAAGTATTTGTTGATATTGTCATATCGTATGTAATATGTAAAATGACCCATTTTTAGGATTTAAAAATTAAAATGGCAAAACTACCGGTTGTTTAGAAAAACAATCGAAAATTTTTCGACATATCAATGTACCATAACTGTTTAATTAAATTTTAATCAATTCGTGTAGTTGCGGTGTTAACGATAAGAGTTTTTCGTCAAATTTTGTAAACGCGACTATGTACAAAAAAAAAATAACACATCGACGCTTGAAAGACAAACGTGGCTAAGCGACAATGCGTGAACTCTACAGTAGACTAATTTAAAGTTGAAATACCTGAAAAAAATTATCTTATAACGAATCTAGCTGTAGAATTGAAATGATTTTAATAGACCTATAAATAAATTTTTTTTGCTCATCGAATATGGTTATTGCCTATCATTTATGTACAAAGCAGTTATTGTCACTTAGTCACGTTTGCCTTTCAAGCGTCGACATGTTTTCATACGCATTTTTATCTATTCGGGATATTTCCCTTCACGGACTCTAAGACTTGAGTAATGTTAAAACAAAAAAAAACACCCTTAAATAAGAAATCGAACTAAGAATTCAAGTTAATTCTTTTTTTTTAATCCTTTGATTTCGGTCAGGATATTAGATAGAGCCTGTGAATTTTTTTAACTCCACCGGACGTTTTAGAAGTCGGTGAAAGATTCTCAAATTCAAAATATTCATACAGGTAACCCTTCTATAAAACAATAGATTCTATATTAGATATTACGATACTATATTGTATACTGTATTAGATATTACGATACTATATTAGATATTTCGTTCCTACAAAATCCCGTGTTATATGAGAAACCGTGTTATATGAGACTAGAAACCAGTACAAAAGCAGTGTAATTTTCTGAATCATCTCAACTAATGCCTATATTTTTTTTAAAACTATATTACTTAAAAAAGAAGCAGTAAATTTTCGGTTATTCTCACAATATATTGTTTGTTCATAGTGCATAATGTAATTTCCTAAATAAATTTAAACAATAATCCCGTCTTGTTAGAGTGGAATCGTGTTATAAATTACCGTGTTATAAATTACCGTGTTATAAAAGGTTTACCTGTACTAACATACCAAGCAAATGAAATCGTGTTAGAATTGTAATAATTTTTCATTAGCGGAAAACAATTAACATGTCGTTTTAGTGAGATAATTATGACCAAATACACTCCAAAGCTATTAAGGTAGGCCTGCGTTAAACGAATGTGGAAATTATATAAAGGAGAAACCCCATTTTGGGCCTAAGCGTTACACGAATGGGATATGTACCAAAAAATTCGTCTATTTTGCTTGATTAACCTATTGAAATCTTAGCTTCATTGACAATGGCCAAGTGTAGAAAATAAGTTGAATTCAATTTTTTGTTTTAAACAATCTTTGTAAACATCTGCAATACTTATTTCAATATACATACGTAGCTAGCTCCACAAACGTGCGGATTAGAATTAAAGCATCTATAAAATAGGATCGATTTAGTGGAAATCGAGTGTAAAAAATAATTAATACTCTTTTGCTTTAGGATAAATGACTGTTTTTATAGGTATTTTAATCAATGTAAATAGAGTATGGCCATCGAATCGTGACACAACTACTTACAATGGCGGCAATTCAAAATATCTACAACTGACAACATTAAATATAGCATGAAAGGGTAGTTTTGCATTTTTATATTAATGTGACTATGCCATAGAAAAACACAAATGTATCAAATCGTGTTATGTTATCTTTAATGTTGCCAACTGAAGATATTCTGGATTGCCGCTATTTAGTTGTGCCATGTTTGGCCGGCCAGACTATAAACTTAATCTCATTGAATAACGTAACGTAAAGCACCAAAATCTACTAACAAAAATCATTAAAAGAAATAAATAACTGTGCCATTTAGTTATGACACGAAATCATGTCGGCAACTGCGGCAATTCAAAATATTTTCAACTGGCAATCTTAAATATAACATGAAAAAGTCGATTTGGTACTTTGAGTTTTTCTATGGTGTAGTTACATTAATAATTTTACTGGTGGTAGGATCTCTTGTGAGTCCGCGCCTCCCGCCCGCCTATTTTTGCCGTAAAGCAGTAATGCGTTTCGGTTTGAAGGGCGGGGCAGCCGTTGTAACTATACTGAGACCTTAGAACTTATATCTCAAGGTGGGTGGCGCATTTACGTCGTAGATGACTATGGGCTCCAGTAACCACTTAACATCAGGTGGGCTGTGAGCTCGTCGATGGGTATCTAAGCAATAAAAAATAAAAATAAAAAAGGCATGAAATAAAATGAAATGAAATGTGATGAGATATTAAGGGAGCACGTAATGATTTTTAGTTTATATAAAAAAGTTATCATATAAAATATATAGTTTTTCATATAAAAAAGTTTTCATTAAAATTAAAATAAGACTGACCTAAAGGTCTTAGTTACCAGGTCATAAAATCCCTTAAAAAATCATTTCGTGCGCAGCGCGCTTCGCATTACTTTGTTTTTAATTTTTGGCTTTCGTTCGTTTTCGTAAACAACCTAACACGCGATTTTTCGTAACAGGATCCATTTTTATTTTAAAGCAACCTGTTGCTGCAACAGGTTTCGTAAAAAATTACTCATCTTTAGTAGGAAACAGCCTCAAAAATATCGTTTTTATTAAAATATCTCGAACAATAAACATAACCTCAAAATGTAAACATTGTCTGATTTTACCAATTTGGCCATTGCTGGGAGACCTGAAAATTGGGCTCAAGAAACCTTCGTAGGTATTGTAACTTATGCCCAAATTCTAGCACTGTAACGCCAGGCCCAAGTTTGTATGGATTTCGGGTTTGTCCTTTAGAGTTATATTTATATGTAAAGAATTTATTTAGAGCTAAGACATATTTACATTATCTCCGGCGTTGCAAGATACTTACGTTATTGTTATATGTATATTTAGTATTATTACAATATTTTATTTAAACATTTATTTAGGTATTCGTTATAATTTTGTTCATATCCGTGTTAGTATGTAATATTTAACCGATTAACATTTACTATGTGTATAAAGTATATTACTGTTATAATATAAATAAATAATAATATGTATTATATTATTCAAAACTAAATTTGGAAAAATGCGTTAAAATAACATTGAAACGAAGAAACTTTGATAATTATAATAGACTATGATAAAATATAATTTGCAATAGAAAAAAAAATGGCAGTAAATTTTCGTATCGTCACGAAAATCCTGTATCTACGATTATATGTATTTTAAATAATTTTTATTAACATTGACTAACTTACACTAACTTCAAAGAATCCAGTGAATTCTAAATGTGCCAAATGTTGTTTTAGTGTTTTAAGATTAAGGTTAAAAACATTTTACATTTTAATTTACACTATGCTAAGGCTTAAAGTTGAAGGGATTGCATATTTTATTAAGTTCCTTCAAAGTTCCTAATTTTCATAACACCGAATTAAGTACGACTAATTCTGAAAGAATAAGACGAATAAATAAATAAGAACGCCCACCAAAAAATTTGGGAATTACGGCCCAGAACGTAAGTGGCCCAGACTCGTTCAAGCTCAAATAAATAGGGCCAGACCAGATCGAAATAATTACTTACTTAGCCGGCAGTCTCTCGTTTCTATAACCAAGGGTCAATAACTTTCCGATGCCTGTAAGCTGGAAAAAGCTGCCGATCTTAATTTGAATTTACAAACCACAGCTTTTTTTTTCATACGTCTCCCAAAGCGGTATAAAGTTTATTTGTAAACTTTTAAACTTTTTTTATGATACTAAAAAATTTAAACTACTTATTTTGTAAGTTTGTAATTTTGCTGAATCTACGGTGCTTTAAGAACGTATTCGGTTGTATCTGTGTGTGTTTTATGTGTTTATTTGAAGACATTTACATATGTATTTACGTGAAATTGACAGAGCTTTCAAAGGAGAAATACATAAATTATAGAGATACATAAATTATATTATTTACCTCTAGGGGCATAAACAAATTAAATAAGTAAGAATTGAATTAAAATATACCGCTTCGTATACAACAGAGCGACTAAAAAAACTTCAGACCGTCAGTCATCTGGCAAGTTTTTTTTTTATAATCACCTTTATCTTCAACGTGTGACGCATATTAATCTTTGATGTTCTTTCCTAATATATGTACATATATCAGTTTTCAGTTTCCTAATATGTTCCTAATATACTCAGTTGAATTATAATCTAAATCTATTTTAATATATAATAAATTATTCTGTCCGTATATATTAGTGTGGACCGATTTTGATAATTTTTTTCTTCTATTCTTTTCAGTCTATTCCAGTTAATTCTAGAATGGTTTAAATACACAGGTGCTGTAAAAACTTTTTGTTTTTTTTTTGTCTTCTTCAAAACGGTTCAGATTTGTTTGTGTTTGATTAGAACCCTAAAAAGGTTCTAATTTGCAAATACAAGACAGGACACGGTCTCTGTCTAGGATCCCCTAGTATCTGTATAATAATCTAAATCTATTTTAATACTTACCTTTATCATAAATACCGATCTCTTGTTCTAGATGTCGCGATTATTTGTAAGAACAATAACTTAAAGTTAAAAATCTCTTATCTGGGTAATTAAAAAATACGGACTAAATATATCTTGAAAAAAAGATGAACTTTATAACAATAAATTTTTGCTTTTACACGCTTTTTTACAATAAAATCATTTTTTTCTTACCCTATTATTAATTTAAATTTATTAAAATTTATTTTCTATTTTTTAGTTGATGTTTCTATAAAAGCGTTTTTATTTAGTTTTTTTAAACTATTATTTTACCTTTTATTTTTTAGTTGAATTTCAATTTTTTCAATATTTTTTTTTAATATTGAATTATCATCGGTCCTTAATAAGTAAGCCAAATTTAGAGTTAATACGACGTTTTGAATGGGGTTAAAATCATGTTCAAAGATTCCGTTACATACTAACATACATACGTCTGAAGCTAACAAAAGCGTTATTAAAAACATCTAAGTCATGAATTCGATTCTCTTTTTGTTGCTATGTGATTTTCAAAGGCCTTCGCACGTAAACCTAAGTATATCTAAATTGTTTGCGGAGAAGAAACCATGATAATGTACTTAAGCAATGGAAAAGAATACTAATTTTAGCATGTTCATTGTTCGTAAACAAAATATAAGGAAGGTAGACATCAGACTGATACCCGCGTCATACAAAGCCGTTGATCAACAAATGATGTTGATTTGTATTAAATTGCGTATTTATTTATTACATAGATAGGCGAGCGCA